TCTGCGAGTCTGAAGACCAATAGTCAGCGCCGACGACCACACATTCTTTCGGAAATAATGAGGTTTGCTTGAACTCAGGAACATGCGACAAAATACCGAAAAAATATAACAACGGTCGCTTTCCATTGTGCTCCAACAAAGCCTTTTCGATATCTCGACGGAGTTCTGCAACCTCTGCTGCAGAAGACCCATCAGCTTTAGTCAGTGCCAACACTGTATTCCCAGACGCAAGGAACGTCATAAGTGTAGAACTTAAGAGACGCGTTTCACCACTGCTTCTCAGAATCTCCAAACGTGCAACAGGACCAGAGTTGTAAACATCATTTTCCCAGCGCCCAAACTCCGTTGCAGCGTGGAAAATCCGCCACCAGGACGTAGGCATTGAGTGGACTGTCCTCAAGTCTTTTTGAATTTAGGTCGGGCATGTCCTCTTACAGGTGGGTTTTGGAAGACAAATAAAAAATAGTCGTCCCCAGATTACTTTTTTTCAATTATTGAATATTCCTCGTGTGGAGGACATGCCCGACTTAATTCTAAATCTTCTGCATCGAATATTGTCATCCGCTTTAAAAGGACCCAGAGAAGCATGGGGTGCAAATTCCTGGGGCGTGGCGGAAAACTTGGGGTTCTGGTGTGACTCTTCCGGGAGCCTCGGGAGCGCGGATAGGATTCCATACATTCAACGGTCCAAGATAATCTCTGACAAGACGAAGCCAAGACGAGGATAAAATCGGGTGAGTATACATATCAAGAATCTCCGAGATCGGGCGGCTCTGGAAAATGTCTCGGGCACCGCGGCCTTCTCAAAGCGTTCTGGGACGCTCTGAAAGCGTTCCGGAACGCTCTGGGACGGGTCTATCCTCGTCCTAGCCCCGCCCTGCGTGCCTCGTGTGGCGTTTGGTCACACCTCTTTGCTTCGAGCGTTTCGAGTGGCGGTTGGTCCCTTCTTTTCCTGCCAACGCGTCCACCTGGACGCCAGGCTTCTGTCTTTCTGTCTGTCTGTCTGTCTGTCTGTCTAGCCTTAGGTCGGGCATGTCCCCCCACCCTACAGGCGGATTTTGGGCGAAAAATGAGAAGTACCCCAAAATACAACAAAATACTCAAAAATAGTCCAAAGATCGTCCCCTGTTTTTCCCCTATGTTCGAATACTCCTCCTGTAGAGGGACAGGCCCGACTTCAGTCTAGCCCCGCCCGATCTGGGCCCGTCCTGGAGCCCCGCTGGGCAAATCCTGGGCTCTCTCTTGGAGGCCCAGCCAGAGGGCGCCCACGGCCAAGCAAAATGACCAGGTGGATTTGGGACGAAAAATAAAAACGACAGAAAAACTAGAGATATCCAGAAAACAAAAATCAAAAGTAGCCAAAAATAATAGAAAAATCGCCCCGAGACAATGTTTGTATTACTTTTGAATATTCCTCCTGTAGTGGGACACGCCCGACTTACAACTAGTGCTCTGTCCCGGAGCAGCATGCCCGCAAGGTTATCGGAGACCGTTCGCCAGAATGGCCAGGGGAGCCTCTGCTGGCCACAGATCGGCAATCTGACGGTCTCCCGCATGGCCTCCCGTATGGTCGCCCGTGATTATGGTCTCCCCTTCTGGTCTCACGCATGATGTCCCGTATGGTCTTCTGCATAGTCTCCCGCAGTGACTCCCGCATGGTCTCCTGTATGATCTCCAGGAGGTATGGCCTCCCGGTTGGCCTCCCGTATGGTCTCCAGCATGCTCTCCCGCATAGTCTCCCGCATAGTCTCCCGTATGGTCTCGCGTACAATCTCTCGTATGGTCTCCAGTATGTTCTCACGTACGCCCTCCCATATGTTTTCACGTGTGTATGACGCTGTATAATCTTCGTTACTAAAAAATTAGTATGGTTGGTTCGGATATTATGCCGTCAGCGTGTAATTTCAAGCCTTTGGTAAGCAGTGCTTTCCAGTCATAAGACCACCCAAGACGGCCCAAGAGGCCCCCAGGACCGCCCAAGGACGGCCCAAGAAGCCCCCGAGAAGGCTTAAGAAGTCCCGAATATAGCCCCAGGAGAGGCCTGAGAGAGGAACTCGCACTTACCCCAAGAGTCCCCTGACCCAAGAAGCCCCAAACAGGCTTCCAAGACGCGTCCCACGAGACCCCAAGAGACATGTAAGACGCCTCTGGTCCACAACCCAGGCACGGTGACGGGCTTGGCCGAAGGCCAGATCCGCCGCTCCCTGCGTCTTGCCTCGGTGCACGGCGTGCCAAATTTGGGGTACGTGCGTAAATGCTGCTCCTTTGAAGGTTCCTGGTGGGGTCTCGCGACGGCCACCTGGAATGACCAGTACAAGGTGTCTCCCGTCGGTTCTCTCTCCTCTGAAGGACCCTTGCTAAGAGAGCCCAAGATGGCCCCAAGATGTCTCCAATACTAGAGGCCCCAAGTGGCCCCTGAGAGGCCCCCAAGAGGCCCCTCATAGGCCCCCCAAGAGGTGCCTCAGATGCCTTCAAGAAGTCCCTCAAAGGCGCCCAAGAGGCGCCCAAGAAGGCCCCAGAACGCCACACAGCTGCCTTCAGAGGCCTACTTTTCCTCCTCCTCCTCCTCTTCCTCTTCCTTCTTCTGCGTTTCATATTTCTTTCACTTTCTCTCCCGGGTGCTCCCCCAGGGGTTCAACAACGGGTGGAAAAAAAACACATAGTCGAATAGCTTGCCCTACCTTTGGCCAAACGACGAGCCGTTCCGAGAGGCAAGGGGGCGGCGGTAGTTCGCCGTGGGCATCTTCGATATCCACGTGCACTTGCCGAAGAACGCTGGGAAACACCGCCTGGAAATGCTGTCTGGACATTCGCGTTCCCTGCCGCATGTTCTCCGGACGAGCCTGTGAATTGGATACTTGTATGTGTGAACATTCGGCTTCCGACTCTGCCTTGCACAAGTTCAACATAATAGGTCGCCATTCATCCGATGATACGATCTCAATTGTCTTTTTTATGTTAACAAGCTCGAATCCAAAAACCTCAACATAACCTCGATCGAACTTCAGGTGCACAAGCTTACCATGACCCGCATCATGTGTTGCTAATGTGAGAGCGCTTGCCCTGGACCAGGGTGAGACAAACACAACTGCGAGTAGTAGCAATACCATGTGCCCCTACAACTAAGTCGGGTCTCTCCTCCTACAGGGGGATTTTGGACGAAAAAAAAAAACTGTCAAAAAGTACCCCCAACTGGTCCAAAAATACTCAAAAAATCGCCCCTGACTATATTTCAACTATTTTTGAATATTCCTCCTGTAGAGGGACAGGCCCGACTTAACCGTACAAAGTATGGACGTACATTACAAGCTAGGGGGGACCGCTCGGGCTCGATCAGAAGAGCCAAGCTCGCTGCGGCATGCCTCCCTCGACAGAGACACGAGAACTGGCCGCGCGCGGCGATGCTGGAAGTGGCCAGCCAGGCGGCCGGACAAGGGCTAGGCTGGCTACTCGAAGGTAGAGAAAGGATCCGCGCACTCCGCCGGCCAGCGCCAGGCCCGTCTTGCTTCAGACGACGGCCGAGCCTCTTCGGGGCTCTGCAGTGTCTCGAGGTAGCTCACGACGGCCCCAGATGGCCCCACGGTGGTCCCAAGATGGCCTCGGACGGCCCCAACAGGGCGCAGAGTGGCCAAAGCTAGCCTCGGGACAGCCTGAAGAGGCCCCAAGGTGGCACCAAGATGGCCCAAAGTCACAAGAGACTGGAAGATGGCTCGCCCGAGAGCGCTCAAGAAGCGAATATCACCTATTGCACCCGCCCGCTGAATCTACTGGACGCTTCTTGGGTTTCCTGGGAGCGTCCTGAAGGAACACTGGACCGTCAAGGCGCCCCCTTGAAATCTTTTGAGCAAGTGTGTTCGCTCCAGGGGGGACGACAGTCGCATGGCGAATTGGAGTCATCCCTAGTCCAGGTCGCCTTGCACACGTATACATATATACCTTGTAGGACCATCGTGCGCCTTCGCGCGCGCTCAGGCTCTACCAGTCTCAGGGCGTACCATGGGGGCGTCGCCCCGATATGTGCATAGCTCCATAGGGAGATGCGGTGATGGTGATGATGATGATGATAATGATGATTATGATAATCATGATAATGATGATGATGTTGATGGTCATGGTCATGATGATGATGCGATGATGATGCTCGTGATGGTCATGATGATGATGACTGATGAATGGTCGTGATGATGATGATGATGATGATGATGATGATTGATGGTGATGATGATGATGATGATGATGATGCTGATGGTCATGGTGATGACGATGTTGCTGGTGATGCTTGTGATGATGATGACGATGGTGGTAGTGATGGTCATGGTGATTTTGATGATGGTGATGATGATGGTGATGAAGATGCTGACTGATGAATGATGAACTCTGGATGGTGAGTGATGAATGGTGAACGATGAATGATGCATGATGCATGATGCATGATGGTGATGATGGTGATGGTGATGGTGACGATGATGATAACGATGATGCTGATGACGATTATGCTGATGGTGGTGAGGATGATGGTGATGTTGATGCTAATGATGATGGCGATGATGTTGACAATGATGGCGATGACGATGACGATGCTGCTGATGATGATGATGCTGATGATGCTGATGATGATGCTGCTAATGATGACGATGATGATGATGCTGATGATGATGCTGATGACGATGATGCTGACGATGATGATGATGATGATGATGCTGATGACGATGATGCTGATGACGATGATGATGATGATGATGATGATGATGATGATGATGATGATGCCGCGGGCGGACGCGCTGAGGCCGACGCGGGGCGGCGCGGGAACGGCGGCAACGGGCGCCGCTGGCATGGCCGTGGAGGGAGAGAAAGACAGGAGATGGGCGAGGCCGGAAACTCCATGTGAACTCTGAACTTTGCTGGCGCAGGTCGGGCGGGGACGAAAAAGGTGTGGGGAGGGGCTAAGGACAGACGATGTGTGCTGTGCTGTGGGCGAATGGGCGCTCCGAGGGCCGCGCAGCATGTGAACGCCGCGCGCGAACGCCAGAGCCAAGGCTCCTCTGGTGGCGCCCTCTGCGGCCCATGCGCGCGCGGGCCGCTGCCGCGGGCGGGCGAGGGGCGGCCGAGGCGAGTCTCCGCGCAGGACTTCGCGACGCGCGCGCATGGATCCCGGCCTGCACTTGCAGGACGCTGCAGTCAACGCGCGGTAAGGTCGTGGATGCCATGACGGTGGACACCCTACCAGTCCGATCATTGAATAAACATGTGTTTCAAATGTGAAAAACATGCTCTAAACACATGTTTCAAACATGCGTTTACATGGCTAGCACATGTTTGAAACATGTTTTAGACATATGGTAATTATTTGGCAGCATGCTTCCTCTCCATAATCGACTTCCACAACGGTAAGGATGCAGGGGCCTTGGACGCCCATGCCAACGCTCTTCGAGCGGGGCTGGGCATCGAAAGTGGCTAAGGACGGACCGAAGATAATCGAAGAGGCGAGGATACACAAGGGACTGCCCGGGAAGTCGATAATCTTTGCTATTCGGGCTGACTGGACGGCACGGCGGGCAGAGCGGACGAACGTTTCGCGAGGCGTCACGGATGTTGCTGCTGAAGCTGCGGTTACAGTGTTTATCAATCACTCCCGCTGCTACTGTCTAGGCTGCGGCAACTGCTGCTGCTTTTGTGGGAACTGCCGCTACGCCTGAGGTCGGCTATCGCCGTTGCAAATGTTGGTAACGTTGAGTTGTAGTTTGTTCATACTGGTGCCGAGTTCCAAGAAGTTCCCACAATGTCACACATTGACTGCCGAATAAAAGAGATCTTTATGCTTTTCATCTGCTCGAAACACCGCTTGCACGTTTCACGAAGACATAGAACACATTGCATTCTCTGTTGTGGACCATCTCCGCCTCGTTATGGCCAGCCCTGCCAGCCTCCGATCCAACTGACCGCGCCTTGTACGTCTCAGTTAGAAGAATCCAGCCAAGATGTCTGAACTTCGACATCACATAGACTAAATCGGGACGGTTGAAAACATGACGGCGATAAAACGGGCCCCAATGCGTGCGGTACTCGCGGTAATCTTTCATCGGGCAATGCGTGTAGATAATCACTAAGCGCCTCGAAAGCGAAAATAACGTCTCGAGATGATGGTTGTACACCGGCTCTTCCGTTAGATGGTAGAGCACATCTTGGGAAACAGCCATGTCGAATCCGCTCTCCTTGAGCTCAAGATTTTCACTAAGAAAATCTGTATTCGCCAGCCCCGTGGGGGTTCCTCGGCGCGTGGCGTTGCTGCCCCTCCCCGAACCCCTCCCTGGGGGCCTGGCCTGGCCACAGGTCGGGAATGTCCCCTTGCAGGCGGATTTTGGGGGAAAAATCCCCAACATCCCCAGCAACTCCCGACTTCAGTCCAGCGGACTTGGAGGGCGCAGGTCCTGGCTGACGAGTTCGCCCGACGCCACGCGAGCACGCCCTCGGAGGGCGCAGGTGGAAAACCTAGTGGGGCACGGCACGCGCGAGAGGTGCCGACAGGACCGCGAGGAGGCCATGCGAGCACGCCCAGTGGTGGAAGAAAAAAAAGCCATGAACATAGAAGTTTTGAAGGGGCCCTGGGACACACAAATCAATACACACCAATTAAAAGACTCCCCATATTTTCCCATATGTTCTGTGTTTCTGTCTTCCCCCCCACTTCCCATATTTTCGCATATTTTCTGGGAATCGACGAATAATTGTGTCTGTGTGTGTGTGTTTTTCCCCTCCTGAAGTTTATGCTCATCGCGTTGCTTCTTCTTCGTCGGTGGGGCCACGGGGCAGAGCCGCCAGGCGAGCACGATCCCACTGGGGGCCACCGGCGGAGTGCTCTGTGGGCAGCGCGCAGCGCGCCACGGGCGTGCGCCGGGCACGCCGCGCGCGAGGGGTGTGCCGAAAGGGGGTGCTGGCGCCCTACTAGCAGTAAGTCGGGCCCGTCCCCCTACGGGGGGACGTTCGACGAAAAACAAAAAAATCCTGGCGAAAGACCCAACCATATGCAGTTGTGAGTGCCGCAATTGTGAGTACCTTCTTCGGTGGCGCCCCGTATGGGGCCACGAACCGCATGAGGGGTATGCCGAAATATGGCGGGGTACACAACGCAAAGGAATACGATAGGTCAGGTTACGAAAGAATGAACGCGGGTGAGCCAGAGCGCGAGAGAGTCTGAGGTGAATGGGTCTGCGCGGGAATGAGTATATTTACATGAGTACGATCTTGGCTACGCCTAGTGTAAATGTATATGAATGTGAATGGTTCGAGCACGCCTGTCCGAACACTCGTGACACTGGGCGTGGCCGCCGCAGGCAGCTTCCGCGGGAACCCCGACGGCAGCGCCCGCGCGCCGCGACGCCCATGTCGGCACGCCCCTCACGGGG